TCGGCAGCTTCCAGTCTGCAGATGTTCTTTGCCTGTTGGCCCGAGAGCACACTTGGTCCCAGATGACACTGACGGCTACTAAATGCTGCCATCAGTGAGGTGACCTTGCGGAAAAATATTTGCCCGTTTTCACGTAGTACTATTAGGTGTGCAAAGTTGTTAGCCCAGCAGATGTAACGTATCCTTATGTAAAGTTCAAACATAAAAAAATTCAATACTGCTGGTATATACATACATATATTAAGGAGAAGGGGGCAATGCATCAGCAGTTTTTTTGTGAATCGATATAAGTGATCTCTTGTTTGATTATTAAGATGGGCCTGTCTATTTACCACGTTTGATAGTTGGGAAGGTAATTTGAATTTATTTTCCAGGAGCCAAGCTGCACTTTAAGAATCCATCTAATTCTGATAAAACTAGTTCTATAGACGACTACCACTGTGGTAGCACTGTACTTCACTAGGACGTATAAATTGCGGTACGTAAATTTTACATAGGGCTTCAGTTTCTTTCAAAGTGATTATAGCAGATTTTATCATTTTGATGCAGTGATAGCTTCGTCAAATAAGTATCAAAAGTGAGTGCTTTCAATGATTGTTTTTAAATATATCGTTTTTGGCCCTTCACAGTTCGCAGAGCTTGTTAAGGTCCTGTGATGGATTGGTTGCACGCACTGGTACATCAATCTTTATCATGACTTGGAGCACCTGTACAAAAATAGGAAGCACACGTGCTCCCTAAATGTGCAAGTCTCTGTCACTGCTCGTACTGTTATTACTCAGCGGACCTAGAAGTGGCCTAGAAGCATGCATTGCAGCCTCATCTGGAAGGACTGTGATCTGCTTGGGAGCTTCGAGGGCACAAAACTGCCTAACAGCTGTTTGCAAGGTTACTTTTTTTAAATACATAAAATTGAGTAAACACCACTTATTGTGCACAAATTGAAAGCCGAATCATGGTTTATTGTAGTGGATACCTGCATTATTCTCACACATTATGCATATTGAACATTAGTAGAAGTAAATTGCGAGATAATTGATAATGTTGAAAGTGGAAAGCCTGCAGCATACGAATGAATCTCCAATTATCTGAGGCTGGAAAGCTCGTGCTTTTAATGAGCACAAATACTTTGATTCCTTATTGAGCTCTCGAGCTTGTGACTCACTTTGTGGATCAAGTGCTCTGGAAGGAAATATAAGGTGGGAGAAATATGCCAGGATTTTCACAGCTTACAAGAAGAAAGACCTATCCTACAAGCCTCAGACGACATAGGGCTGGTAACTGCATCTTTTTCTTGATGTAGCTTTTTCTACATCAGTGCTATGACATGCTGTGTTTCAGCCGAATGTGTTCACCCCGATTGCATAGTGATATATTTTTTTCCTACAACCTGTACTTCACCTAAGTATACATTGTTGATCTCTAGAGATGATGCTCGGTGTGCCTCAAAGCCACGGCTCCTCATCTCTCTGTTTGTGGCTAGACTATTTAGGCAGCAGTGTGATGCAGCCAGCACCCATGCAAGCCAAGTAATAGAGTGCTCCTTTGGTGTTCCGTGCAGGACACAGCATATCCATCTGGCAAGACACTGCCATCAATAATAATGGTGAGCGTTGGTGGCACCTATAGGAGTTCATTGTGTTTGTTGCGTATTATTATGTGGGATAACATAACTTTAATGTTTCCGCACTGAAGGTTCTACAATGACTGCCTCTGAATCGGGGCACACACACAGTTTTTTTTGCTTATTTCGGGCGAGAGTGTTCTTATCGCTGGCGCCCGTGTTTGGAGGCATCGCCACGACGCGCAGGCGCAGAAGCGGCACCAGCCCGTTTCACCACAACACCCCCCCCCCCCCACGCCGATAGGAGCCGTCAGGGTTCAAGAGGTTTGGGGACCCACACCTGGCGTCCAAGGCGGGTGGTGTAGGGTGCGAGCCTAGGCGTTGCGGGCTGTTGTCGGCGAATTACGGGAGGCGTGCGGGGGTTGGTAGGCTCCTGGGAAAGGATGTATGATGGCTTTAGGCGGTCGATGGAAACGCGTACATCCTTCCCCCTGATTTGCAGGGTGAATGTTTTGTCGTCGCGGTAGATGACTTTGTCAGCTCCGGAGTAAGGCGGCTGGAAAGGTGCGCGTACGGTGTCGTCGCGGAGGAAGGCATGCGAGCATGTTGCCAGGTCCTTAAACACGAACGGGGTCGGCTTGGTGTGGCGAGCTGGTGGTGAGGGGCGCAGCGCGCCCATTGTGCGCCAGAGTCGAGCGACGAAGTCTGCAGGGTCCGAGCTGGTTACATCAGAAGTCGGGGCGGAGAGGAGTTCTCCAGGTAGGCGAAGTGGCTCCCCGTAGACGAGTTCCGTGGGCGTGGCTTAAATGTCTGGGTTGAAAATTACGCGCAGACCGAGAGCAATGACGGGGAGAGCTTCGAGCCAGGTTGAGTGAGGGTGGCACAAGATGGCTGCCTTGTACTGCCGGTGAAACCATTCAATCATCCCGTTGGTGCTAGGGTGGTAGCTAGTTGTCCGTGAACGCTCGAACCCGGTGGAGAGCCCGAGGAGCCTGAAGAGTTGAGATTTGAATTGCCTTCCTTGATAGGTGGCGACTCGACGAGGAGTGCCGAAGCGTGAAACCCAGCCGGAGAGGAAGGCTGATGCGACGTCTCCTGCGGTGATCCTTTCGAGCGGCCACAACTCGGGCCAATGTAACGATCGATGGCGGTGAGGCATAGCGGTAAGGGCCGGCTGGTGGGAGGGGGCCAATGATGTCGATGTGGACGCACTGGAACCGTTCCGTCGGGAGGGGGAATTATCCGAGTGGCGACGTGACGTGCCGGGTGATTTTGGCGCGCTGGCATTGAATGCATGTGCGTGCCCAGGTGCGGCAGCCCCGTTGCGTTGAGGGCCACGCGTACCGGTCATTCACGAGGCGTGTAGAAGCTCAGATGCCGGGATGACTGAGGTTGTGTAACTGGTTGAAGAGGCTTTGGCGATGCAAAGAAGGGACGCATCGTCTCACTCGTCCTGTTGATATGTCACAGTAGACGGCGTCCGTTGACCCAGAGATGGTAACTTTTTGAAGTTGAAGGGAAGAGCCATTTTCGAGGAGCTGCTGGAGTTCGGTGTCCGTTTTCTGAGCTTCAGCGAGGGCGTCGGCTGTAATGGTTCGTAGCTCGACAGACGAGACGTGAGAGAGTGCGTCGGCGACCACGTTTGTCTTTCCGCTGATGTGGCGGATATATGTGGTGAATTTAGCGATGAAGGACAGCTGATTCTGCTGGACCAGTGGAAGTTTTTCGCGGCGTTGGGAGAAAGCGTAAGTGATAGGTTTATGGTCGGTGTATATGGTGCAGTGCTGTGCCTCGAGGATGTGGCGAAAGTGTAGGGCTGCTTCGTAGATGGCAAGGAGCTCCCTGTAGTAGGCTGGCCAGGTCGTCTCCGCAGGGGGCGAGGTTGCATCGCCGATGCTGCCGGAAGGCGCGGATGGCTTCGCGGAAGAGAGTTTCTTTGAGAAGAACGCCAAGGGGCGCCAGGTGTTTCCCACACGCTGCATGAGAGAGGCTCCAACGGTGGTGCTAGAGGCGTCTGTGAAAAGACCCAGGGGCGCCTCTGGCTTGGGATGGGAGAGCAGCGTAGCGTTGCAGAGGGCAGTTTTGCAGTCTTCGAACTTTTGCGTCAATGCTGGGGTCCAAGTGACAGGATGATTGCCGTGTCGGCCGGCCAACGCATCATGAAGAGGGGCCTGATATGCGGCCGCTTGAGGCCTGAAAGTTGAACATGCCCAGGAAACGGCAGAGTTCCTACGCTGGGGCAGGCAACGCGTAATTTTGCAGGGCCAGTATGCGGTCAGGCAAGGGTCTAGTTCCTTCTGAAGAGATTTCATGGCCAAGAAACGTGACGACGGGGGTGCCGTGCGTGCTCTTCTGAACGTTTATGAGTAAGCCGTGTTCGTCGAGAAGCTGGAACAGTTGACGAAGGTGTTGGCGATGTTCCGTTTCATTGCGGGAGAAGATCAAGATGTCTAGGTAGACGAAACAGAAGTCCAGGCCACGGACGACGTCGTCGATGAAGCGTTGAAAGGTTTGCTTCGCGTTGCGGAGACCAAAACTCATGAAAGAGAATTCGAATAGACCGAAAGGTGTGATAATTGCGGTCTTTGGGACGTCATCCGGGTTTACAGAAATTTGTGTGTAGGCCTTTACGAGGTTCACCACTGAGAAGCTAGTGCTGCCATCTAAGCGATGTGCAAAGTCCTGTATATGACGGACGGGGTACCTGTCGGGGTGATGCAGGCGTTGAGGGCGCGATAATCGCCGCAGGGGCGCCAGCCACTGGTCTTTTTTGGTACCAGATGAAGCGGTGAGGCATAAGGTTCCTCCGAGTGGCGGGCGGTACCTTCGCGAAGCATGGCTTCGAATTCGACCTGTGCGATTCGTGGGTGGTCCGGGGCTAGCCGACGGGCGCGGCATGAGACCGGGGGGCCGGGAGTAGTACGAATGTAGTGCACGGTGGAGTGGCGCACCTCTCGCGGACGCCCGCTAGGTCTAGTCAGGTCGGGAAATTCTGCGAGGATGTCATGGTATGGCGACTGCTTCCCATTGGTGATTGCCTTGACGCTAGGCTATTGGGTGGTCACACGTTGGCCCGGTGTGAAGGGGCCTGTTGTAGCATCGATAAGTCGGTTATATAGGCAGTCAGGTAGAAGGTCGTAGTACGCCAAGAAGTCGGACCCGATGATCGGCTCTGCGACGTCGGCGATGACGAAATTCCATGGACAATCTCGACACAGGTTTTTTAAGGTAATGTTAAGGCGGAGCGAGCCGTAGGTCTTGATGGTCGAATGGTTCGCCGCGCTGAGCTCAAAGGACGTGCAAGGACGCTTGTCACGCAGGAAGGTTCGGGGAAAGCAACAGATGTCGGAGCCACAGGCGATGAGGAACCGCCGCTTTGTGACTTGGTCGGTGATGAATATGCGACGACCTCCAAGTTGGCAGCTCGCAGCCGTCTCTACGGGCTGCCGTTGAAATTTCCCTGACGTCCAGCTGAGCAAGGTGGTTGACATTTCCGGGCTTTGTCCCCGAAGCGGCGATGGTAGTAGCAGGGGCCGTTAGCATTTCCGTGCGATGAAGCGGCGTTGTTGTCTTGGTTTTGGGAGCGTTTTTGTGGACGCAGCTTTGGGCTTTGATCCATGTGCCTTTGAAGGGAGTCCAGCTGACGGGTGATTTCGTTGACACGGTGCGCGAGCTCGCTGCTGCATTGTCGGGTGTCAACGGCGTTGACGGTGAGAGGCGATGCTGGCAAGAAAATTTCGACGACTTGATCAGCGATGTGAGAGAGCTGGTCCAGCGGCAGATTCGGCTGCACTTGGAGGATGGCCTGCGCAAGTGAGGGTAGACGCTGAAGCCAGATGATACGGAGGAGGGAGTTGTCGACTGCGGTGCTGCCCAAGAGGTCACGCATGTAACGCAGGAGCTGCCATGGCTTGCGGTCACCGAGTTCTTCGTGCTGGAGTAGGTGACGCACCTTCTCGTCTTGCGAAGGTGAAAGTCGGCGGATCAGTTCCCTCTTCAGGTGTAGGTAACGGTCATCAGCCGGGGGATTCGCAAGTATATCACGAACCCCAGCCGTATAGCGAGAGTTTAGATGGGCGACGACGTAGTCATCGCGCTATGACGCGCTATGACGTAGTCATAGCGCGTCCGGTCCTGAGTGATGCGTGCCGTGGAAAACTGCGCCTCGACTTGAGCGAACCACACGTCAGGCACCTCTGCCCAAAACGGTGGAAGTTTGGCGGTGACGCGACAAACGTCCGCGTTGGTGGCGGCTGCAGCAATGGAGGCGCCCGATGTGGCAGGGACCGCTGGAGCAAAGTTTTGGGGGGCGTGACCCAAGTTGGGTGGTGCACGGTCGTCAGACGAGAGTGCTTTATTTTCATTGCGCTGCTGCTGTTCCCGGAGCTGCTGCTCTTGGTTCTGGATCACTTGCTGCTGGGCCTGCAGTTGTTGTTGCAGTTGTTGTTGAAGTTGTTGTACTTGTTGTTGAAGGGCAGCAAGGGTTTCCTCATCGGCTATGGCGGTGCGGTACGTTCGTTTTCCGGGTCACCAGATGTGGGATAACATAACTTTAATATTTCCGCACTGAAGGTTCTACAACGACTGCCTCTGAATCAGAGCACACACAACGTTTTCTTGCTTATTTCGGGCGAGAGTGTTCTTATCGCTGGCGCCCGTGTTTGGAGGCATCGCCGTGACCTGCAGGCGCAGAAGCGGCGCCAACCCCTTTCGCCACAATTATTTCCCCTGATGAAGGGTATTTTTAAAAGGTTTTTTTCGTTTAAAATAATAGGTATGAGCAACAAGCAAACTCATAATCCACAAATGCTTTGTGTCTTCTAGACTGCCCCTTTGCTTCTATACGCTGTATGTTGAGCTGGCTATGCTACAGAGCTTTAAAGTTATGAACATTAGCTGTTGTCTTGTAATGCTGTCTAACTTGTGTTCCCTAGTGAACTGATTTGCAGTTGGCTTCTCGCACCTAGTCTAAAGTCGAAATAGAAGATACTTTATTGGCTTACTATGCATGGCAGAAATTTCCTGCCTTCATGTATAACTTTGTAGCTTTGCACTTGAATTATATTAAAATATAATGATTTTGAAGGATTTTTTGGCGAACTTCGGCGACTTTGAACGCATCTATCTATCTATCTATCTATCTATCTATCTATCTATCTATCTATCTATCTATCTATCTATCTATCTATCTATCTATCTATCTATCTATCTATCTATCTATCTATCTATCTATCTATCTATCTATCTATCTATCTATCTATCCATCATCCATCCATCCATCCATCCATCCATCCATCCATCCATCCATCCATCCATCCATCCATCCATCATCCATCCATCCATCCATCCATCCATCCATCCATCCTCCATCCATCCATCCATCCATCCATCCATCTATCTATCTATCTATCTATCTATCTATCTATCTATCTATCTATCTATCTATCTATCTATCTATCTATCTATCTATCTATCTATCTATCTATCTATCTATCTATCTATCTATCTATCTATCTATCTATCTATCTATCTATCTATCTATCTATCTATCTATCTATCTATCTATCTATCTATCTATCTATCTCTATCTATCTATCTATCTATCTATCTATCTATCTATCTATCTATCTATCTATCTATCTATCTATCTATCTATCTATCTATCTATCTATCTATCTATCTATCTATCTATCTATCTATCTATCTATCTATCTATCTATCTATCTATCTATCCGCCAGAGACATTTAGCTCTGGTGGCCGTTTGAATAATGGTATCGATACCAAACTTGGCATGATATAACATGACTGCATGCCGAACATAACTGACTAAACATAGCTTGAAAGTTATATGTATGTCATAAATCTCATGATATACGCGTCATGGTCTCGCTTCTCTTGCGGTGATTTCATTCAAATGATATGTTGCAAAACTGGTATTTTATGACATGACTGCATGACAAACACAAGTGACAGACCTTAACACCAAAATGATGGCATGCGTGTCACGTAACAACATCACTACATGCCACACTCATGATGTGCTCACGGCCGTTTTGCTAGCTTTGCATATACCGAATTTTGTATTACGGGACGTGAATGAATGAAGAAGGTATGTGACTGATGCAAACGTAATAACCATGATATGCGTGCCATGTAAAACATAGCTACATGCTACGCTCATGATGCGCTTGCGGCCGTTTCGCTAGCTTCACATGTAACAAATTTGGTAGTACGTGAAGCGAACGGACGACATAGGATTGACAATGACACGTCCAAACATGATGATCATGACCTGCGTGGGATGTAACAACATGACTGCGTTCCTCACTCATTATGCGCTGACGGCCGTTTCACTACCTTCACATCTGCCAAAATTTGGTATTACGTCACGCGAATGGATGAAGAAGGTGACAAGTGCAAACATAATAATCATCGTCACCCAAAATGCAGCATATCGCATTTCGCGCTGGTTGCCACCGGGCCACGCCGACGGACGCTGGTCGCACCGGTCCCGCCAGGCGTCACACTATAGAGTGCTCGCGTTTTGCTAGTGTGGCGTCGCTGTGCTCAGCCTGCGTATGCATCAACGTTAGGTCGGAGTGTATTGGGCCTTTCATGACGCGCTCACCGCCGTTGCGCTGGCTCCACATGAATCAAATTTGGTATTACGTGACGTGAATGAATGATGAATGTAATGGACAAAATTAATTATGATAATCATGATATGGATTTCATATAAAACATGACTACATGGTACGCTCAATGGACGCTCGCGGCCCTTTCACTAGCTCTATATATACCAAAGTTGGTATCAGGGGATGTTCATAGATAACGAAGGTAAATGAAATCTCCAAACATAAAAATCAGGACATGGAAGTCATCTATGACATTATTTACCTCAACCTCCTAACGTTGTGCTGATTTTAAAGTGACTGGAAGTTGTGCTGATTTTAAAGTGACGGATTTTAAAGTAACCTCCCTGTCCTTCCTCATTTATTCCTCCTCCTCTTAAAGTGACCTATCAGCCTTCCTAATTCGTGCTTCGCTTATCATCGATTCCCACTGTACGTGGGATCTGCCAATTTTTTTCAGTCTTTACTGTTTGTGTGACTTGAGACTTCCTTTCTTTTTATTATTTCTGCACACTTGTCCTCGGCTTCTGAAAATACGTGTGTAGATGTGGGCACATATTTAACAACTGTACACTTTGCGTGTAGCATGGTTGTCACGATGATCTGTATTTTTCCAGGTTCGAGCAGTAACAAGAGATCAGGTGTTTCATGGTCATGTACACTGTATCGCGAACAGAGCACAGAAGACCACCATGTAGAAAGGGACTGCCAGTGACTGTGTCCTGCTGCTCAAAGTTCACGATGGCAGAAAGACCACATTGTGATGTCGGGAGAAGTTTGAATTGTACACGTAGTAACATTCTGTGCAGCTGCAGTTTAACTTCTTATTCAGCAGTTACTTTGTGCTTGAGCATTCCAAAATAAATAAATTTTGCATGGAAGATACCGAACCATAACACTAATTTGAAGATTGCTCTAGTGCTAGTGGGAAAATAAATTTGAGCTGAAGTTTTAGCATGCATGTTAATCAAAGTGCCTGCATGTCTCTGCATTTCATTGCCATAATTCAGATCATCCAAGGCCGGCAATGGTAACTGTGTTTGCATTCGTTGTAGTACAAGAAGTAAAGCTATGGATGCAGTAATCTTGTACTTAGTCGATATAATATTTTGGTAGACACTCATTTGTATAGCACCAATGACGTCATGTGTGTATAAGCTCTGGGAAGTCGTCTCGTCCGCACGTTTATAAGCTCGGCGCAGAAGCAGTCGCGAGCTGAGTAACACACGCTACCAGACGGCTGGTGATCTTGGTGGCGGAGTTCGGAGCGGTGGCGCCTTCAGGACCGTGCTGGCGTCTCGCCTTCGTAACAGCGGCGAGTTTCGTGGCGCCCTTCGTAACCTTGTTGGTGGTGCGCTTCGTAACAACACGCATCTCTTGATTATCATGTTCGCACCAGTCATATACCATCATCATGCATTCGCGTCCCGTAATACAAAATTTGGAATATGTGACGCTAGTGAAACGACCATGAGTGTTCCACTAGTGGGGTGTGTAGTCATCACTTACATGACATGCATATCATGATTTTCACGTTTGCGTCCCTTACTTATGTTTGCTATGCAGTCATGTCATACATACCACCTTTGCAATATGTGATGTGAACGAAACCACCGCAAGAGCAACAACACCCTGAAATATGAATCATAATATTCCTGCTTTATATATGATGATTTTCATGTTATGACTAGTCACTAATCTTGGTAATACAGTCATGTTATGCCATACCAATTTTGTTTTTGGTATCGTTATAGAAGGTACCAGGAGAGCTAAAGTCGTTGGCGTCTAGATATATAGATAGATAGATAGATAGATAGATAACTACTCCCAAAGTCACTGAAGTTCACTAAGAAATGCCTCGCATTGAAAAGCGAGATGCATTGGTGCTTGTGTTTGTCACTAAAAAAACTAAAAAAATATCAATAAAGTACGTATTTTCTCATTACAATAGGAAAAACAGTCGTAAGAGATCTCCCGTGCAATCTATCACACTGAAGAAGGATGATGTCTCGGCAAAAAGAGTATAAAAAAGCAATATCCCGCTTTCATCCTCAAAACACTATTATTCTTTTGTTTTGTCAGCACGAGTCTTGTCATGTATGTATCTACCTTTTTGACTTTTTCTGGTAAAATGTAGTGCTGAATTATAGAATTCAAGTACATATATCTAATTAGCTTCACAAGGTGCTTCGTTAAGCTCTCGCCTGCTATGGCAATTTTTCCTTCTCTCATACACTAGGTTTTGTTCATGTGTAC